GGATCATCCGGATGATACAACTACATCAATGGAGATATCAGATTTTCAAGAGGCGTCAGCACCTATGGATGAATAAATTAGACATGCTTTTAGGGTGTTTACCCCTAGTGGCCGAACCCACTAGGAGTGGTCGGCCCTATCCCTTTATTTTCTAGGTTTATGGTTTAATTTTGAACAATTTTTCTAAGTATTTGGAATAATTTGTTTGGTTTTGTTTTTTTTTGAATTATGGATTGTTATTGGAATGGATATTATTTTCTCGAATTGCTTAATTGAATGAATGGACTTATATTTATGCATGTAACCAATTCAATCAATTTATTTCTAGGTATGTCTAGTGGGGAAGTTAGTTGCCTGACAGATAGTGCAACCACGCACACCATCTTGTGTGAACGACACTAGTTTACTAACTTAATACCCAATAAAGCTCATTTGACAACTCTCTCAGGCTCATCCAACCTGATTGAAGGATACGGAAAGACACGTATCATGTTGTCTAATGGTACAATCTTGACCATTAAGGAGGCACTCTATTCTTCACGTTCCGGAAGAACGGTGCTGAGTTTTAGAGATATTCTAATCAATATCATATTGAAACCACTGAAGATAATGGTTCTGAATTTCTTTGTATCACTTCATACGAATATGACCATAAGCGTATTCACAAAAAGTTGGAACGTCTACCGAGTGGGTTGTACATCACAACCATTCACGGCATAGAATCCCACAGTGTGGCCGGCCCTATGCTTGAGTTCCAGGACACTTTATTGCTTTGGCATGACCGTTTAGGACATCCTGGACGTGACATGATGTGCCGTATCCTCAAATCTTCACACGTGCATAAGTTATATCTATATGTTGGACTCCTGCCATGCAAAGCTTGTTCTTTAGGGAAGTTGAATACTCAACCCTTATATACAAAGATTATTCACGACCACCCTAATTTTATTCAGAGGATTCAAGGGGACATTTGTGGACCTATCCAACCAATATGCAGACCATTTAGATACTTTATGGTGTTGGTTAATGCATTAAAAAGATGGTCACATGTTTGCTTGTTGTCCACATGCAACGCAACATTTGCCAAACTCCTAGCTCAAATCATTGAACTAAGGGCTCACCACCTTGATTATCCGATTAAGTCGATTCAACTGGATAACGCTGGAGAGTTTACGTCACAGACTTTTGACGATTATTGCATATCAGTAGGAATTGATGTGGAACATCCTGCACCCTATGTTCACACCCAAAATGGCCTGGCAGAAGCTTTCATAAAGTGTCTTCAATTGATAGCTCGGACTTTGGTTATGAAAACCAAACTGCTGGTATCTGCCTGGGGCTATACAATATTACACGCATCTATGTTAGTCCGCCTGAGGCCCACCGCTACTCAACCACATTCACCGTTACAGTTGGTCACTAGATACGAGCTTGACGTCTCGCATTTACAGGTGTTTAGGTGCGCCATTTATGTGCTAATAACGCCTCCGCCACGTACCAAAATGGGTCCTCAGAGAAAAATAGGAATCCATGTCGGTTATGATTCACCATCAATTGTTCGCTACTTAGAACACTTGACAGGAGATCTTTTTAACACATGTTTTGCGGATTGTCACTTTGATGAGACAATATTCTCGTCGTTAAGGGGAGATAAGCATGTTAACGTTCCCGTAAAACATCGCGAATTGTCGTGGCATGCTCCCACTATGTCTCATTTAGATCCCCGCATTACCTAGTCTGAAACTGAGGTGCGACGAATTATAGATCTTCAAAGCATACATGATGCTTTTAATGATCTAGCAAAGTTGACAAGATCACATATACCCGCTGCAAACACACTTGCAATAATAGATGTACCCTATGTACGTCAACCTACCAGGGAAGGCTAGACCGTCCCCGAAGGTGGGGAGGCCGCACCCTCCACGCGACAAGGTACATTGGCGACTAGCCAATTTTCTGCTTCGACCTTGAAGCGTGGCAGACCCCTTGGTTCAAAGGATTCACAACCCCGAAAGAGGAAAATGGCACCAACTAGTGACCCTAGTTTGAATCCGACCATTGTTCACTCATTCGTTCCAACGCATGAGGTTATTCTAGATTACAATGATGCTTTAGACGAAACATGCTAGCCTTTCAAGAATCGTGAGATTTCGGTCCACTACGTAGTATTGAATGAGGTTTGGAATATGAATGAGATAATCGTCAACAATACATTCGCGTACTCAATAGCTACTGACATCATGCTTAACGATCACATTTAACCACGTTCCGTCGATGAATGCCGATGTAGAACCGATTGGTCAAATTGGAAACAAGCAACCCAGGTCGAACTCGATTCGCTCGCGAAACGTAAGGTGTTTAGACCTATTATTCCTACACCACCATGCGTGAAGCCTGTTGGCTACAAGTGGGTTTTGTGAGGAAACGTAATGAGAAGAATGAAATATTGCAATACAAAGCACGCCTCGTAGCATAAAACTTCTCTTAGCATCTTGGGATTGATTACGAGGAAACATATTCTTCCGTAATAGACGTTATAACGTTCCACTACCTAATCAATTTGATAGTTTCCGAAAAAACTGAATATGCAGCTTATGGACGTGGTAACCGTGTATCTCTATGGGGATCTAGATACGGAAATATACATGAAAGTTCCTGAAGGACTTCCATTGACTGGTTCAAATAGTTCTAGACCACAGAACATTCTCTCAATTAGGTTGAGGAAGTCACTTTACGGATTGAAACAATCTAGGTGGATGTGGTATAACCGTCTGAGTGAATATTTAACAAGTCAGGGTTATGTGAACAACGAATTATGCCCATGCGTGTTCATAAAGAAGTCACATTTAAGATTTGCAATTGTTGCAGTTTATGCTGGTGACATGAACCTCATTAGGACTTTTGCCGAGCTTGAGGAAATTGCTGCACACTTGAAAACGGAATTTGAGATGAAAGATCTTGGGAAAACTCGATATTGTCTTGGTCTAGAGATCGAGCATTGTTCGGATGGAATCCTAGTACATCAATCGAACTACACCCAAAAGGTGTTGCGTCGTTTTAATGAGGATAAAGCAAAGCCTTCGAGTATACCCATGGTCGTTCGGACTCTAGATGCTAAACGAGATCCATTCCATCTAAATGAGGATGAGGAAGAGATTTTGGAATTTGAAGTTCCTTACCTAAGTGCAATTGGGGCTTTATAATACTTGGTTCAGTGCACTAGACTTGACATCTCATTCGCTGTGAATCTTTTGGCAAGATACAGCAATGCGCCCACCCGCAAGCACTAGAATGGTGTTAAAGACATTTTATGCTACCTCAAGGGTATAATGGATTTGGGCTTATTTTATACCCACGAATATTCGAGTGTTGCCGCCCCCTATGGTCATCAGATTGATTCTCGCCTTATTGGTTACGCAGATGTTGGATATCTGTCTGACCCACATAGAGCACATTCTTAAACGAGTTATATCTTTACCGTTGGAGACACCGCTATATCTTGGAGGTCTACCAAGAAAACACTAGTTGCGACTTCATCGAACCATGCTGAGATTCTTGCCTTACATGAAGCATCGCGTGAGTGCTTTTGGCTGAGAGAAGTTATAGGACATATTCGAAGCACTAGTGGTCTTACATCAGTCGTTGATTTTCCTACGACGATCTTTGAAGACAATGCGGCATGTATCAAGAAGTTGAAAAATGGATACATCAAGGGAGACAACACCAAACACATAGAGCCGAAGTTCTTTTACTCATACCAGCAGCAGTAGCATCAGAACATTGAAGTCAAGCAAATCCGTTCCCAAGACAACCTGACTGATCTCTTCACCAAGTCATTGCGCAAGGCTACTTTTCAGAAGCTTGTCCAAGGAATCGGTATGAGTAAATTATATGAGTTGAATCGTTTGTAGTTCTCTTATTTATAAGTTATGTCTAACTCATGGGAACTATCTAGAAGCATACTCACATGATCTTAATGTACTTTTTTCCTACGATTAGGAGTTTTTTTCCTACGATTAGGAGCATTTTTCCTACTAGGTTTTTGCTACATAACGATGTTTTAATGAGGCACTCATTCTGGGATGATCATACTCTGTTGAGTTCACTACTTTCGTCCAGTTTGACGTTTGTTTTAGACATTATGCATATTTCTCACTTTTCTCCTTAGTATATGGGGTTTTCCCATGCCTTGGGTTTTACCATAGCGAGATTCTGTGAGTTTTACTACAAATGCATACTTCACTTAAATTTGAGACTCGTGATCACTTGTTTTGTCGATGACTTCATCAACTATTCTACCTTATCAGCTGAAGATCTGATGCGATGGTTTGTTGAGTATTTACACACTCAAGGGGGAGTGTTACAGTCATATTTAGAATATGAATGTGATTGTGTAAATCCTAGTAGAGATGAGAATGTATTTTATATTCCCATTAGGAGTAGATTACCTATTAAATATTGTAATCCTAAAGGGAAAGGTTTTTACCTATCCCACTACTATAAATAAAGGCACAATGGGATGAATCAAACACACCTCACAATTAATCACTCTCTCTTCTCCCTCAGTATTACCGGCCCCCCCTCTCTCTCTAAACCCTAGATCGTTCAATCAAATAGGCCTATAACAATTTCACATTTTTTATTTTATAATAGAATGAAATTGGTATACGACAATCCGCAAGCATCTGTCAATCGTTAATATATCCAAAACTTACTATTTATCAGTACAGGAAACAAAAGGAAATAGTATATTTAATGACCTATAATGTTTTCTAAACTCTATTAGTGTATGCCTTCTGTGGTCGGATTATACACGAAGAACATAACTTCATAGAAAAGGCTACGGACATTATTTGGTACTAGAATACTATTCACTATGAAGGGAGTGAGATTCTTGAAAAAATGGATGGCTCGACATAGAGTGATGGCCCGTGTATGTTCATATAGATTAAAAAGAAAGAGAATCCTACTCTCATGCATTTGCTTCACTGCTTGTATAATATAATTCTTTAAGTACATACATTTTTCACTTCACTTGAGTAACTTCCAAGACAAACACTCACTCTCATATGATCATATCTGGTTGTCTCGTAGTCATTTTCTTGTACTCTCTCTAATAAGAATTTGCTATAGAACTCGAACAAATAGAAAGAGAGAAAAAGGTCTCGATCACCCCCACCATTCACCGCCATCACCACCACCACACCCTCCTCAAATTTCAACACTAACCAAATAATAATCACTCATCCCTCTCTTCAAAGCAACCTTCTTTCCCCTAACTTCTTCGTCACAACCAAACCAAACCCACCTCACCTTCTCTCTAACAACCAAACCCCCATTTCACTTCTTTTATTCTCTCTCTCTCTCTCTCTCTCTCTCTCTCTCTCTCTCTGTGTTACTGCTTTCGTGTGTTTTAATATTATAGTTCACAAAAGCAAAATGGCTCGGCTCTTCCGATCCAAATCTTGCCATCTTGTTGGACTCACTGAGTTCAGCATTCCCCCTCCTAGTCCATTCTCCTACCACCACAACACCAGCAAAGAAGAAGAAGAAGAAGAAGAAGAAGAAGAAGATGATGATGAAGGGCTGGAATATGAGGAGTTGGATTTTGAAGACGAGGAGGAGGCTGTAGGAAATCCCAGGTCTACCCCATTTCTGAGTCCCAAGATTAGAGCCAGTGGGAACAACAAAGGTCGAGACTTCCACGGGCATAACGGTCGACAACACCAGCACCACCAGTCCGCCATACTCGACATTTTGGTGGCGGCTCTGAGGAAGTCTCTGGTAACTTGCAGTGTGGAGAGGGATGACGTGGCGTCCTCTTTCGACATCAGTTCTCCGAGCGAGGTGAGACATGTCTCGCATGTCACTTTTGATAGGTTTAATGGGTTTCTGGGTTTGCCCACTGAGCTCGAGCCCGAGGTCCCCAGGAAGGTGCCAAGTGCCAGGTCAGAACCCCTCCTTTTTCTTTTTCCAATTTTTGCTCTTTTTTTTTTGGTTGGAATTGGTTGAGGATGAATTTTTGAAATTTGTGAAGTGACTTTGGTTATATGGAAATTTTGGGATTTAGATTGGTTTGTAGTATCAATTGTTTGTCTAAATTTGAAAACTTTGACGGATTATAGCGTGCACCGGTGAAAAGTATAGATGATCCTTCTTCGTTGGATTCTTTACCGTGCACATTCAATCATCCATTGCGTTTGTGCACGTCATAGACCGGAGCATAGTAGAATTTTCATTAAAGTTCATTCATACTTGCATTTCTTGCATGTGTGTTTTTCTTAATTGTTTTGCGTTTTGTAGTGCAAAATGGAAAAACTGGTGGCATTATATTGTTCTTCTGTAAACTTGTAAATCGGGTTTTCTGATTTTTCCGTATCCGGGCTTGCATAGGTTGGTCTTTTTGATTCTGGATCCACAACCACAAGAACAGTTACCATAAGATGTTTTTTTTTTCAAACACAATTGGTTTGAACCAGGTTGTGAATCCCCTTCTTTGTGTCAGTCACAAGTTCCGTTACTGCTTTTATCGATCTCCTCAAGTACTTGGAACTGCCAGAGGATTTTGATTTAAATTCTTATATGGGGAGGGAATATATAGGTTAAAAAGGAGGATGAGGATTTTGCGAAGTACAAAGATGTGATTTTGACAGAGGCAATCGAGTTCAATTGTTTAGCATTTGTAGTCCGAATAGCTTCTGCTTCCTGGTGTGTGATAGCTTTTACTTTATTTTGCCTTGATTTTATTTTGGATGGGCACTTAGGCAGATAAGGGAGAGTAACACGAAGGATTTATTGTTTTTAGTTTTAAGCCTTATAAATGTTGGGTGGAGCCGTTCCAATCATCAGTGCAAACCATTTGGTCTATTCAGTTTTTAGTGGCATTGTTTGAAAACGATCTTATCTTGCAAATTGATCTGCATAGCAGGGTGGCACAAACATTTGATCTTTCGGTATTGTGTCTGAATAATCATTTCTTTGTTTGTCTTTTACCTTTTCCTTTTGATCAGCATGTTCTCCTACGAAATTGCATCTGAAGGTAGGCTGCAGTAACAATGTATATGGATCCTGAGGCAGGATTCCTGCTAGATGGAACGTTCTGTTTCAGCAGTTTTAATACATGTCTCTCATCATCCCATTTAGTCCTAATCAGAGTTTCTGTACCATTTTATATTTGACTAATGCTTAATGGAATACACTTCTTTGGCTTCCAGTGTAAGTGTGTTTGGGGTCTCTGCCAAGTCGATGCAGTGTTCTTATGATAATAATGGGAACAGTGTGCCAACTATACTTCTTATGATGCAAGAACGATTGTATTCAGGAGGAGGCCTTAAAGTAAGTTGGTATTTCAAACTAGTAGCGAAGTTATACGCGTATTCTTTTCAGCACAACTAAAGGTTTTTATTTCATTATTCTCCGTCTTCAAGGCAGAAGGAATATTCAGAATTAATGCTGAAAATGGTCAAGAAGAGCGTCTTCGCGACCAGTTGAACAAAGGCATTGTGCCACATGGAATTGATGTTCATTGTTTAGCAGGTTTGATAAAGGTAAGCATATAATCTGACATTTCTAAGTGAATGCAATTGGATACTTTTTGGAATACATAGCCACCATCTCCTTCACGATGTTCAGTAACTTTAAAGATGTGTGGATTTTTGATATTCTTTTCAAGCTTTCAAAATCGTGAAATGTCTAGATCATTAATAAACCCTTTTAAATTAAATCCTTCATTTAAACTAATCTTCTATGGTTTTTAGTTTCTGCCTTGGTTCTCAACCTTTTTTTTCCTCCTTTTGTTAACGGGTGTGTTCCTGTCTCTCCCCTTCTTAAACATTGTAGGCATGGTTTAGAGAGCTTCCTACAAGGGTACTTGATTCGCTCACACCAGAACAGGTGATGAGCTGCAACACAGAAGATGACTGCACAGAACTTGTGAAGACACTTCCTCCAACAGAAGCTTCACTGCTAGATTGGGCCATCAATTTGATGGCAGATGTTGCGCAGAACGAACAGCACAACAAGATGAATGCCCGCAACATTGCTATGGTTTTTGCACCTAACATGACCGAGGTTTGTACCATTTTTTCACACGGTTGTTTATTGATGTGAAATGTCTCTGGTTGTGATATGCAGTTTGCCTTGTTTGCTTTGAAACTTTGTTCATTTTGAACAACGGGTAAGCCTGATGGTTGTTTTAGCTTTAAAATGAAATGTTGCGGTTCCTTGGCCCCCAAGGTGGGTCAAGTGACCGGGACTCAGGAAGACACATTTTCGATGGAAGGCCCTAGTTGGATTCCCACAATAACTCCTCTATTGATTACCTGATACCTAGGTTAAGCGTAGGCCTGGGGTTTTAGGGGTTCATGCGGCCCACCTGTTAAAGGATGAGTTGGAGTTCCACATCTTCAAATGATTGTTGCTCCTTGGCTATGTAACTTTCGTTCTAATGGCCATAAGAAAGTCCTCTTTGTCCACAGACAAGTTTAAGCTTTGCTATGGACTAAACAGGAGTTTTTGCTGCAGATGGCAGATCCCTTGACTGCACTAATACACGCGGTGCAAGTTATGAATTTCCTCAAGACATTGATTTTAAAGACCCTGCGCACAAGAGAGGAATCAGCTGCGGAGGCTACATTGCACGCATCATGCAAAAAATCTCTTAACCACAACAGACAAACCATGTATTCGATTATGGGTGAATCTTTTGTTCATGATAGCTCATTCAGCACCGCCACTTTGGACAGCCCAAAAGCTGACATCAATGAGAAACTTTGGTGCTCTCCGGTAATGACTGATGGGGAAGATGAACTCGAATCCACTTCGCACAGCAGCGCATCTACTAAGTGTGAACTCGAGTGTTCAGAAAACGGATGTAGAAGTGGATATGAAGCTGGAGACTGGTTAAGTTGGAGGAAAGGAGTGCGGAAGCTATCCAGCCACCTGGTGTTTCAGTTGAGTAAGCCGGCTAAGAAGAGTACGAAACTTGAGATTGTAAATACTAGGGGAGAAGGTGGAGAAGCATGGGCATAGAGAAGTGGGAAGCTGAGGAATCTGTTTTTGTTATTGCCGTTACATCTCGTTAAAAAATCTGTTAGTTGGCTGACGTGGAAAAATGGGTGGGCCTAAGTATTGATTATATAGAAAAAACAAAATTAAAAAGAAAAAAGGTCCCTTTTTGCTCATCCCCTAACCAAAAGTGAATGTTATATGCGCTCCAAAATCTTGTCATGTGTCTCTTTAACTAACCTATGGTTATCTATTATTTAATTAAATTTTTTATGGCAAAAAATAATTAAATGAATTAAAAATAGAGAAAACATGAAATAAGTCTAATTTTGTTTAGCCAACATTTGTCACTTAGTATTACGGTCTAGTGTTATTTCTCTTCACTTGTAAGTGAGAGATCTTAGGTTCAATTTTAGCCAAAGATGAATTTGAACCACATTATTGTGAGCCTATTGTGGGGTTAAGCCCACCTTCTCACCCCCTCTCCCTTAATATTGATAATATCGTTTATGCAAAAAAAAAAAAAAAAAAAATCCATTATGATAGTTCAATTTATTGAAATAAGTCAAATTTCTTAAGTATAGGATTATTTTTATTACCAATAATCTCTTTAATGACAAAATTATTATAAAAATTAAATTATTCCAAATTATCTCTTTAATTATTTCTTCTATTTTTTTTTCTATTTTTAATTTTTAATTTTTATAATCAACCAATATCACAAGATAATTGTATTTATCTATATATTCTTTTTTGTAATCAACTTGTATCACATATTAATTTGTCTTGTTTGTGGATATATTATGTTTTTATACCTTTTAATTAGGTTTCACATCTCGTTTATAATATAATATACATTTATATATTTGTTACTTGAGTTAGGGTCGTATGTTTTGCAAATGGATTCATGTTAGTATATTAGTTTTTTGTTAGAAGATATTAAGTAGATTTATGAAAAAAATTAATAATAGAGTATACTTTTAATAGTTAATTTTATATTGTGATAACACTTTTTATTACTTAATTTCAACCGCTAGATTGAAAGATATCCTCAAGCGAGTTGGTTTGAATTCAATGGCTAGATGACCTTATCTTATGATGCCTATATATCCTCAGATATTTTGCCTTTTACTTTACCAAAATCCTTCAAATCATCCATTGTAAAAAAAAGGCTACAATTCTCTTGTTGTACCGATTTCAAAATCCTTTCTTCCATGAAGCTCTTTCATGACATCCTCAAGAAAGAAATCCAAGTTGACTAAGGCCATCTCCAACTGAAGGAGGGTCAGATGGCTCGTTTTAGCCCTATAGCCCTCCAAGAAATTAATATTTTAATGAACAGTGCCAGACCACATTTCTTACCATCTCTAACCGAGAGGCTAGAGGGCCAGAGGCCAAACATAGCCCTGTGACAAAAAACCATCTCCAAACGAGGGGGCCAAAGGGCCATAGGGCCAAACATAATTTATTATTTTAATTGAATTAATATGGTTACTTAAATTAAACTACCTCAATAATTTTTCGAGATGGAATGTCAAGAATTTATCGAGTTGGAATCTCAATAATTTTACGTCTCGAATTTCGAGTGTCACGTGTCAGAATCTGATGAACAACTACCTCAAACAAGTACATGAGGTGTTATAGGATGATAAGTTTGAAATCCACAAACAAGTACCTACAACACATCTTTGGGCCAAAAGAAGCATGGAGTACGCGTTTAAGTTTTATGTTGTTAAATGTTTTTTTTTTAATGTTGTTTAAGTTTCATATTGTTAAATTTTTTTTAATGTTGTTTAATGTTACTTAATGTTATTTACTGTTTTAATATTGTTTAATGTTGTTTAATATTGTTTAATTTTACTTAATGTTGTTTAATGGCTTAGGTAGTTATAGGAAAAAAAATTTGTAAAAAAAAAAAAAAAAAAAAAAAAAAAAAAAAAAGAACAAATATAATGGTTAGTTGACATCAGCAAGTAGCTGTTGGGATTCAAATTGTTGGACTGGCTGGCTGGGTTGGGCTAGCCGGTTGGCCTAATTCTCCTTTTGTGGCTCGGTGGGGCCCACGAGCCCCTTGACCTTACCTTCGATTGGAGACGGTTTTCGTGTCATTTAGGGCTATTTTCGACCCTATGGCTCTCTGGCCGCATCAGTTGAAGATGGCCTAAGGTCTGCCAAAAGGCTATTATCCTTAAGGTTCTTTTACTGTGTTAATGAGATGTTTTTTTGGATAACCGTATTTTCCTTTGCACCTAACTAAGCTTGAGTGTATTTGAGGTTTAGGGTTCTTGAGAGATAAACACTATCTTGTAATTGCTCTCTTTAATTATGGTAGATCCCCTTCCTCGTCTGCAAAGTGGACATGTAACTAGGCTCATTAAACGCGAAACAACATAAATCTTAGTGTTCTTAGTTGTTTGGACCTTTTCACTTTTCAATATTTTGTTTCTTGCCTAGTTGTTACCTTTCTTACGCACGATCTTGCATGTATAGGCTGACAAGGGTTTGGTTATGATCTGGTATTGTATTTGGTGGCTAGAGATAAGGAGGAGTCGGTTAAGGAGATCAGAAATTGAATTTAACTTTGTCATCATCTAAATCTGGTAGACATTCTGTTGCTAGTGCGATTAGAGGTTGAGAAATTTGATGGCTCTAATAATATCGGTGTATATCAACAAGAGATATAGCTTTGGAGGAGAATTATGTGGACACAAATTATGTTTATGGTATTTGTTAGGGCAGAGCAAACAAACTGAAAACTCGAAAAAGGACCAAACTAAACCGTCTGGGTTGGTTTCGTTTTGATGTTTTATTGGTCCATTCGGTTTATAAAACAAGACCAAACCGGAAGAATCAGTTTAATATGCGGTTTTGATTTTACAGACCATGAGTTAACCGAAACAAACCACTTATAATATGTAAAGTATCAAGCCCCTTAATAAGGGAAGGGATTCCCATTTTTCAAAAAAAATGTGGATAACCTCTTGAGTTAATTTACTTAATGAAATGTGGGTTGAAAAATTATGGGAATCTTAACCACAGAATTTCATTAAAGCTAAATCTAATGGTCAAAAGAATATCTCTATTTTTTTTTAAAAGTTTCCACAAAGCTCCTGAAATTTATGTCAAAACAAGGTATATTATACATTTTAAAGATTAACACATTTGGAGTTATTCAACTAGTGAACAGTGTAATTGGCTTTAAATCATTTTATAAAATTGTACGTTGATTACTTTGTTTGAATTTATAAACATAGATATTTAGAATTTATGCATGAAAAAAAAAATGAAATTTAGAACCTCCAATTCCCAAGTTTAAATTCCATGTAAATATATGTCATTTTTAAATTTTTATGAGTGAGAGTCTAAATACAAAATTCCGAGTCCAAACCATTTTTTTTATAAGTTATACAATAAAAATTCACAAATTCTATGAAAGTAAATTAATCATTTCTATTGTATCGTCTTGAAATTCTTAGTATGCTTAATTTTGGCAACCTAGAATAGGTTGGCAAACATATTGTGTTTGTTGTTTTTGTGTAACACCTGTTATCTTAACGGATCGTGTCGTGTCACATCCATTATCTTAATGGGTTCTTGACATGTCGGGTCACTTTACTCAATAGGTAAAATGACCTATTAAGAAAAATATTTTTTGTCTTCTAAATTTATACATACCACATTGCGACATAAATTTTATTTCAAAACATAAAAACACATTTATCGTTAAGTACTACATCTACATACTCCAAAATAAGAGCCTAATAAAAAGCATCAATACACTACTAGTCTACTACAAATTATCAAATGCGCAAGGAAATACAAAATGAAGGAGTTTTTCTTTTCAAGGTTGTGAAACCTTTCTAGGAAGTTAAAAAAAATAGCAACAAAAGGAAAAGGTTACCACAAGCTTGGAGCCAATCAATGTGGTCGAGGGAGACGGGAGAGGGTGGTCGTGACTCGTGGTTGGCCGAAGTTAAGGTTTGAGACTAAGATTTGAGAGTTAAGTTCGAGAGAGAGAGAGAAAATGACTGCTTCAATATTTTGACTTGAAATGAAAGAGAGAAAGTCTGATAGCTAATTAGGGCTTGAGAAACATATACGCCAACATTAAATCTCAGCCGATCAAACGGTCAACAAATTTCCAAATTTAATTCATATATATATAATGGTAGGGATTTAATCTGACAAGAGTGAGACTAAATCTTACTGCTAAAATTATAGTAATTTTTTCTAGTGGTATAAAATTATTAAAAATAATATTTCTTATAGTGTAATAGGTTACCCACGTGTATACCTGAACCGATCCATTGTCTTAATAGGTGCTTATCGGAAGTAGTATTTCATAAGATTTAAAAGGTTAAAAAGTCATACATGTAAATCATTCTGTAGAGGTGTCCCTATCAGCATTAGACGCTGGTTTGCACTTCGTACCTCGTCCACAAGCACATAACTCCATTGCCATCGTTTCAGAATTTTACCGAATCATTCTGTTCTGCTGTGCACTGGAAGACTTCGGATTAAATGAACATAAAATCAAAATTACTAACAATTGTCCATATGCAACATCAAAGCAAACCTGTGTCTTTCAAATAGTGAGTAACACACGAGAATAACATTAAAAGGAGGCGGTGATCCAGCTTTGACAAAGAGTTCAACTCTTTTGAAATATGCCGAATCGTGCAGCCCCCAGAAGACTGGAGAACAGGCCTGAATTTCCTTATTTTCACTAATTACATTGGAACAAAGAATGCATTTTTTGCCCAATTATGAATGAGTAAAGGTAGAGCTTCCAACTCCCATGTCATCTCATACAAAAAGCTTAGTATAAGTAGAAAAGGCAACCTGATTGACACCTCAAGGGGCAGCTTTCCACTTCAGCATACGATCAGAAAACCGCCGGAGCCGACTCCCGTGGAGCTCAAATTTCTCAAATCCGCTGATATTTTGGCACACTTTGCAAACCCTTCCAACCACTATTCTCGCCATCCCTACCTCATCCCCTCTTCCACCGTTGACCCATATTGCCCAATCCCCATCGCTATCTCGTCCTCTAACACGAGGGGAATCCCGTTGACCCGGCCTGGCCTTTTTACCTCTCTGCGCGTCGTCCTCCAATCGTCTAATAACGACGCAATCAGAGTCGGAGATGTCCAAACGTGTTAATCTCGACGCAATCGGAATCAGAGTCCTCATCGTCGTAGGAGAGCCATTTGGGCTTGGAGGCTGATCAGAAGGAGAGGAGAAAGGCTACGGGAGATGATGAGGAGAGGATGAGAAGGAGGCTGGCTAGGTGCAGTTGGGAGGAAGGCTACGCGAGACGGAGTGAGAGAGAGGGCGAGATCAGTACGTCCAGATGAGGAGGAATGACTCTTCTCCATTTGGTCCAGAGTAATTTGGGAAAATTCAAAATAAACGCCTATTTTTTTCGATGGACCGCCACAATTTTATCAACTTGCGCGACTTATGTATGCATTCTGACGTCCCGCAACGTGTTTTTGTGCAATGACCAATTGTGACGTCGCGTAAGTTATATTTTAAAAATTAGAGTAAAGTACAAAAATTTATTTTTAATTATTATATCACTTTATTATACCTTATTTTTAAAATTGAACATGTCATACCTCATCTTACGAAATTTGTGTCAATGTCTAACCTTCCATCAGTTGTCTGTCAAATTCGCTAGTTACAAATGGTGACGTGGGCTTGTGAAGTGGCCACAATTATATTAAAAAACCTAATAAATATTATTAAAATAAAAAAAATTTTTTTAATAATTAATATTTAAGGGAAAAAAAAAGTTTTAAAGGATCCGGCTTCCATTTCCTCCAACCGCATCTTTCTTCTTCTTATTCTGGGTTCAGGGGGTTGGGGGGATGAATTTTTTTTTTTTCTTTCTTCCTTCTCCTTCTTCTTCTTACCTTCTCCTTTCTGGTCGGTGATGGTTTCCTTCCTTCTTCCTTCTTCTGGTTGGGGTAGGGGACGATTTTTTTTTCTTTTCTTCCTCTTCTTCTTCATCTTCCTCCTCTTGCATCTCTTCTTCCTTCCTTTTCTAGGTGCAAGGGTGGGGGTGGGGGACGATTTTTTTTTTTTCTTTCTCCTTCTTCCTCTCTTCTTCATTTCGGGTTGCAGGGGGTGGAGGGGACGAATATTTTTTTCTTCTTCCCTTCTTTTCCCCTCCTCCTCTTCTTCTCCTCCCCCTTCTCTCTCTTCTCCCCATTTTCCTCTTCTCCCCCTTCCTCAATGCAACCCCAGAATTTGAAGAGAGAAAAAAAAAAAACCAATTTTTCTTCTCCTTTAATTTTCTCCCCACCCATCTGCAACCAAAAAAAAAAAGGCCCAAAAAAAACCGTCCATTACGGAATCAGGAAACCCGAAGGCCGATTTCGAGAGAAAATGGTAAAAGGGGAACAGGGTGTGGAGGAAGAGTTCGGCGGGAACCCAACCCCCTTGAGTTTTTTTTTTTTTTTTTTATTCTCTCCCTTCTTTCTTCAACTCCTCCCTTTCTCCTCTTCTTGGTTTGAGGGATTTAGATCTGGTGGGCTGGGTGTTCCGTCGTTTTTTTTCTGGTCAGTGTTTCTTTGGTGCAGAGTATGGGGGGAAGGAGATCAGAATACGAACGTACCTTAGGTTTTTTTTTTTTGACTTTTCTTGCTAGTGCGATTAGATTGAGAAATTTGATGGCTCTAAAATAATATCAAAGAGATATAGCTTTGGAGGAGTTATGTGGACACAAAATATTTTATTAATTTTTTAATCAGAAATGGTCCCGGATTCAAGCCAACTCAGCATTTAACTGAGAAAATTCACTGCAACCCCTCACAGAGGTATAACATTGACACAAATTCCGTAGATGAGGTAATCACATCGCAAATTTTAAAAGAAATGAGTATGAAAGTGTGTGACATCAATAGTGAGGTAGTTTTTTGGTACTTACCCTAAAAAAATTCATACAAAATTTACTCGAAAAATATGACTTTTTAACTCCTTCAACATTCAATGTTTTTTACATAACAACCCACAATAATATATTTTCTAAACAAAAACCCGATCTGAACTACAATAATAAATTTAAAGCTACCTAATAAATATACATACCATTCAATTTTTGAAGTACTATACGTACAAAATAAATAAATTTAAAGCTACTTAATAAATATATATGCCATTTAACTTGATGGGATACGCATTCTACAAAATTAATTTCAATGATCCAATCGTCAAATTTGTTTGTATATACTTCAAGATCGCATACCCCAAAAATCGCAAAAAACAAACAGTCAAAGATCAAGTAATGGGACAAAAATTTTCGACGGTTATAAACAAAAAAATCACGATTTAACGGTTATTTTAACTCCAATTTTGATGATTTTTTACAGCTACACTCCTTGACCCTATATGAATATAATAAACAAATTCGATTTTCAATTTAAAATATTTACACTAGTGGATACCAAAAAATCTTATGTTATACTTAATGAAAGTATAAATAAACTCTAAGTGTTAGTGAATCTATTGTTTTGATGGGATACATATTCTACGAAATTAGTTTCAATGATCCAACCGTTAAACTTGTTCGTATATACTTCGATATCGTAAACACCAAAAATCGCAAAAAAACAAATATTCAGATATCAATTAACAGGGCAAAACTTTTTGACAATTATAAACGAATAATCACGATTTAAAGGTTATTTTAACTCTAATTTGATGATTTTTTACAGCTACACTCCTTGACCCTTATGAATACAATGAACGAATTCGATCTTCAATTTAAAATATTTACACTAGTGGATACCACAAAATCTTATGTTATAGTATAAAAACCCTTTGCGCAATGCGATTGATACGTTGCGCAAACAACCTTTGCGTGACACATTGGTTGGTACGTCACACAAACAACCTTTGCGTGACGCATTTGTTTGTACGCTGTGCAAAAATAGAACACATACTACTTTCTGCTTGAGCGGACAACGTGGCCACTTGAGCAACAGAACACATACTGCTTTCCTACTACTTTCCACTTGAGCGGACTATGTGGCCACTTGAGCAACAGAACACATACTACTTTCCTCTTGAGCGGAAGAACAACCACCGCTTGAGCAGCAGAGCCCAATGTAATGCCTGCTTGAGCAACCTAATAATTTTTTTGACAATTCTTAAAACAAAAGCAATGAAACCACAAAAGTTAAGGTGCCCACCCCCAAACTTAAATGAAACATTTTCCTCAATGTTTGCAAAAACTAATACACACAATGCATTCATCAAAGCAAAGAAATGGAAATACTACATAAAGAAAAAAAATTCCAAAGAAAGGATTTAGAACTCTTTTTAATGAAGTATCGAAGTTGACAAATCACCCATTCAACAATCAACCATCACTTTAGTGATGTGGAAAAAGTCGTTGACTTTGCGCGATCAAGACTGACATCGCACAAAACTGTTTTGCGCAACTAAAACCTTCGTCGCGCAACGAATGTGAAGATTCGTCGCACAAAGAAGTTTTGCACGATGAAGCTTCACCTTCGTTGCGCAATGTTGAGAAAAAAATAGTTGAAGTCTTGGTTTGGCACCAAAAACTTGCGCGACGAATAAACCGCGTCACGCAAATAGTCTTTGTTGGAACTTGTGAGGGACTGGGAGTCCCACATTGCCTATACACTTTTTGAAAGTCCCTTTTATAACTGTTCACTCACTTATAGTTTGAAAAAAATTAGGCCAAAGCCATGGACCTTGGGCCTTGGACTTGGATGGTTTGGGTGTATATATTAAATGTCAAATATTAGGGCTCTTGGGCTCGGATGGATGAAAAACACAAGTACAATTTTTACGTTTTTGATTTTAGGATTCAATTTTTTTTCCGAAAGGATAAGACTGATTACATAAACAGTTACGTCTGTTCTGAAAAGATAAGCATGAACAACCATAACTATTCAAATACGCCATTATATATATGGCAGTAATATCAGAAACCATAGACATCAATTCCATCGTTTTCTCCTTAATTCTTCAGAGAGAAACACTTAGTAAATTGGCCAAGAATCCAAGTTTGAGTGCAAGAACTTGGATTGGATAGTTGTATCTTGCAAGATAGACATCCGTTGAACTACTACACTAGGGGCAAATTTCTGTCTTAGGAGATTACTACTGCAACCCTCTATCTTAAAAAACAAGTCAGTGATTTGTGATTTTATATGCAATTTCATTAATTGTGTATATTTTGATATATTGTATCGATTGTGGAATTTTGATTCGAAATAAAATGTGCAAATTATTATATATTGTATAATTGACATTTGATTGGTTCTAACAATCTAAGACAAAAGTTGATTTCATGGATCAATCAAATGTTGGTGTTGTCAAGCAACATGTTGAGAAACCTGAGAAATTCAAGGGAGTTGATTTTAAACGTTGGCAACAGAAGATGTTGTTCTACTTGACAACTCTGAACTTGAGTCACGCCATTACTTCTGAGGCCCCTGAAGCACCAGAAAAGGGAGATATTCCTGCCGAAATTCTGCAGGCTATAGAAGCCTGGACTCACAGTGAATTTCTATGTAGGAACTACATTTTGAATGCTTTAGATGACTCTTTGTATGATATTTATTCATCCTATAAGACGACGAAAGATCTATGGGAGTCTCTGGACAAAAAGTATAATCTAAAGTGGCTAGTTCCAAGAAGTTTGTGATTGAAAAAATTCTAAATTAGAAGATGAGTGACACCAAGACTGTTGTCAAGCAAGTTGAAGAACTCTAAGTGATTGTTCATGAGTTAGATGAAGAGAATTTTGATCTGAAGTAATATTTTGTGGTTGGCTCTATTATAGAGAAACTGCCTTCGAATTGGAAGGACTTTAAGATTTATCTGAAGTATCTAATTGAAGACATGAGCATAGATCAGTTGATTCTTAAACTACGTATGGAAGATAATCATCGTAAAAATGAGAAGTATGATGCCTCATTGCTGGAGGAAAAATCCAATGTTGTGGAAGGAGGAGACTCACACAAGGCAAAGTACCATCAGAAAAACAAAGGCAATGATGCTGCAAAGAAAGCACTGACTGCTGCAAAAGGGAAAACCTTCAAGAAAATCATAGAAGGTTGCTGGGTTTGTGGAAAGATAGGTCATAGGGCAAAGGATTGCTGCCACAAGAAGGATCAGAATACTGAGAATTCTAATCAAGCAAACATTGCAGAAGACAAGTTTGTTGCTATTGTATCTGACGTTAATTTATTAAGTAATTCCAATGACTGGTGGGTTGATATAGGAGCAACAAGGCATGTTTGTATTGATCGAAATTTTTTTTTTCTTACCAATCAATTGATGGTGGAGAAAATTTGTACATGGGAAATGCAACTGCATATGCCGTTGTAGGGAAGGGAAAAGTGACGCTTAAACTCACTTCTGGAAAAGAGCTTTCACTCACCAATGTTTTGCATGTTCCCGATATTTGCAAGAATCTGATTTCTGGGTCGTTTCTAACAAAGGTTTCAAATTAGTCTTTGAATCTGATAAGTTTGTAATCACCAAAGGTGTTGTGTATGTCGGAAATGGCTACCTGGTTGAGGGGCTCTTCAAATTGAATGTACTTTCTACTGATGTTGTTAATAATAATAACAAGCTTAGTTCTTCTTCTACTTACTTGATTGAGTCCTCTACATTATGGCATGCAAGATTAGGACATGTTAATTTTTGTTCTCTTTAACGAATGGTTAACTTAGGCTTATTGCCCAAATGTTCCATGAACAAGTATCTAAATGTGAGATATGCACATAATCCAAATATGCAAAACACTCATATAAATCAGTGGAAAAATCCAACGAAATACTTGGTTTAATCCATAGTGATCTTTGTGATTTCAAGTTCACACCAGCTTATGGAGGAAAGAACTACTATATTTCTTTCATTAATGATTGCAGTAAGTACTGTTATGTCTATTTGATTCATAGCAAAAATGAAGCTTACACATGTTTAAGATATTTAAAGCCGAAATCGAAAATCAACCAGACAAAAGAATAAAAGTCTTAAGGTTGGATAGAGGTGGTGAATACGAATCTAATGACTTTGCAGAATTTTGTTCAAAACATGAAATAATACGTCAAACAACAACACCATATACTCCTCAACAAAATGGAGTGGTTGAACGGAAAAATTGAACATTGAAAGATATGATTAGTCCCATGTTAAACAATCTTGGTGCACCACATAATTTATGGGGTGAGGCACTTCTTGCTGCCAACACAGTATTGAACCGAATTCCACATAAGAAGACTAATCAATCTACTTATAAAATCTGAAAAGGTAGGTTACCTACATATAAAACTTTGAAAGTGTGGGGTTGTCTTGCAAAAGTTCAAGTGCCTCTTCCCAAGAGACAAAAACTTGGACCAAAAACAGTGGATTGCATATTTATTAGTCACGCCAAAAATAGTTCAGCATACAGATTTTTGGTTCATAAATCTGAAATCGCAGACATTCATGTAAATACAATACTTGAATCTGCAGAAGCTAAGTTCTTTGAGGAAAATTTTCCTTATAAAGATAGGTCATATGTTTTGAATAAAAGAGTATATGATGATACTACGAGAAATGATGACGATAATCATGCTTCAACTTCTAGAGTCCAAGGCCAAGATTTGGAACGATGAAAGAGTAAAAGAGCAAAATTTGCAAAGGATTTTGGTCTTGATTTCCTTACTTTTCTAACTGAAGAAGAGCCTCAAACTTATAATGCTACATTAGAATCCTCTGAAGCACCTTATTGGAAAAAAGCTATTCAAAGTGAAATGAAACCCATCTTGCAAAATAATACATGGGAATTGGTTAATTTGCCTCATGGAAATAAACTAATAGGATACAAATGGATTTTCAAGAGGAAATTGAGACCGGATGGTACCATAGACAAGTATAAAGCTCGTCTAGTTGCCAAAAGGTATCGTAAAAAAGAAGGACTTGACTACTTTGACACTTATTCACCAGTAGCTAGAATAACATCTACAAGGTTATTAATAGCTATAACGTCTGTGTACAATCTCAAGATACATCAAATGGATGTCAAGACTGTATTTCTAAATGGTGAATTAGACGAAGAAATATATATGGAACAACTTGAAGGTTTCATTGTCAAAGGTCAAGAAAAGAAAGTTTGCAAATTGATTAAGTCATTATATTGACTTAAACAAGCTCCTAAGCAATGGCATGAAAAATTCGATCATAATATGATCACAAATGGATTTGTAATCAATGAAAGTGATAAATGCATTTATGTTAAGCAAACGAAAAATGCTTATGTTATTGTATGTCTATGTGTTGATGACATGCTTATAATGGGAACAAACAAATATGTGATTAACTCCACAAAGAAAATGCTAAATTCTAGCTTTGATATGAAAGATATGGGAATAGCTGATGTGATTCTTAGAGTTCAAATTCTAAGGAATTCAAATGGATATGTTCTAACTGAATCACATTATGTTGAAAAGGTTCTAAAAAGGTTTGGACATTATGATTGTAAACCTACAGTAACTCGATTTGATCCCATTCATACGCTTACTAAAAATGAAGAAGAGAGCATATCTCAATTGGAGTATACCCCCAAGTTATAGGTTGCTTTATGTACATTATGAATTGTACAAGAACTAATCTTGCTTATTCAATAAGCCGACTAAGCAGGTATTCAAATAGTCCTGGAAGAGATCATTGGAATGCTTTAATAAGGGTATTAAGATACTTAAAGCATACAATGAACTATGGTTTGCATTACACTCAATATCCGTCAATTTAGAAGGATATAGTGATGCAAATTGGATTTCAGGGAGCACAGACAGTAAATCCACAAGTGGATATGTATTTACACTTGATGGATGAGCCGTGTCATGGAAATCGTCTAAGCAAATGTGTATAGCATGTTCGACAATGGAATCAAAGTTTATAGCTTTAGATGCAGCTGCTGATGAAGCTGAATGGCTTAAACATTTTCTGGAAGATATTCCATTATGGCCTAAGCCTGCAGTATGTGTACATTGTGATAGCATGGCTGCACAAGGTCGAGCAAAAAACGCTGAATATAATAGGAAGTCAAGACATATAAGGCGACGACATAAAACCATTAGATAGCTACTCAAGAATGGAACTATTTCCATTTACTATATTAAATCTAAGGAGAACATTACCGATCCTTCAACTAAAGGCCTATCCAAGGATCAAGTGGCATTTAGATCGAGGGGAATGGGTGACGGAAACCTAACCTAGCTAATTGGAGATCCCATGGTCTAGGTTCAATAGGCAAATTAGTTGAGGAAAACTCAAGGTAAGAAACATACAATCCTTACTTATTCCTATGATGAAAAATAGTGTGTTGCCTGTAAGATGAAGAGGGTGAATTGGTATTCTTAATAATGCAAATATCTTATGGTTAAGATGAATATAATAGGATATTCTTGATTAGCATTACCTATATGAGATTGATGTAGGTATGGCTACAATTCTCTAAAGGTCTCATGAAATCAGGATATGTTCAGGACCAAAATGAACACAACCGTATGAATTGAAGTGTGTTAAGATGTGATATGTGTGATACTTATTGTTTCGATTTACTACTAAGAATGATCAGTTCAAGATATTAAATTCACCGTTTAATTAGGTAAATCCGATAAGTACTCACTAAAGAAGGTTCAAGTCCAAAAGGCACCTATCCCGATGCGTATCATATCTAAGTTCTCTGGAAAGACGTTACTAATTTAGTTAGTATCTTATTTTCTATTCAAATGTGGGGTATTGCTAGAGTTTGAATAGAAAATGTGGGGTATTGTTGGAACTTGTGAGGGATTGGGAGTCCCACGTCGCCCATACACTTTTTGAAAGTCCCCTTTATAAGTGAGTTCACTTACTTATAGTTTGAAAAGAATTAGGCCAAACCCATGGACCTTGGGCCTTGGGCCTTGGACTTGGAGGGTTTGAGTGTATATATTAAATGTCAAAGATTGGGGCTCTTGGGCTCAAATGGACGAAAAACACAAGTACGATTTTTACGTTTTTGATTTTAGGATTCAGTTTTTTCCGAAAGGATAAGACTGATCACATAAACAGTTACGTCCGTTCTGAAAAAATATAAGTAGGAAAGGCCATAACTATTCAAATACGCCATTATATATATGGCAGTAATATCAAAAACCAAAGTCATCAATTCCATAGCTTTCTCCTTAATTCTTCATAGAGAAACACTTAGTAAATTCGCCAAGAATCCAAGTTCGAGTGCAAGAACTTGGATTATATAGTTGTATCCTGCAAGATAGATGTCCGTTGAGCTACTGCACCGGTGTAGGGGTAAATTTATGTCTTAGGATAACCTCTAAACAAGTCAGTCATTTGTGATTTTATATGCAATTTCATAATTGTTCATATTTTGATATGTTGTATCTATTGTGGATTTTTCATTCGAAATAAATTGTGTGAATTATTATATATTGCATAATTGACATTTGATTGGTTCTAAAAGTCTTTGCATAACGATGAAACAAAATGTTGCGCAAAGGCCGTTTGTGCGTTGCGCAAGCTTTTGGCGCCAAACCAAGACTTTTACCATTTTTTTCCAACATTGCATGACAAAGGTGAAGATTCGTTACACAAAACTGTTTTGTACGACATCAGTCTTTGTCACACAAAATGTCCTTGTGTGATGCTTAGTTGTCAATGTTGTGCAAAATGTCCTTGCGCAACGTAATTTGCTCACTAGCGCAAAGCCCCGTCGCGCAAGTATGTTTTTGTACTAGTGAAGGTCAAATAATTAATCCGACCAGATGCATAAATTGATACAATTTTAATACCTTATGGTGTAAAATGAGAAAGTTAACGTTTCATGGTCCATTTTGATCATAGTAGAGAGTCGACCCAAAACCACCAATAACATTGAAAAAAGAAGGTAAAAATAAATCATGCAATATTAAAGGTATAAGAAGAAGAAATATTCGTGTGTGGAGAGTTCGAACTCAAGTCATAAGAAGACACATATACTCTAACTAACATGACTAGATTCACGGGTACCATTGCTTTTCGCATAAATGATCACAATAACGATGATCTAGTATTTTTGGGGGCACAAAATTTGATTATGAGAAGTGATGTAACTCTTGCATGTTTAATTAAGGTTTCGATCCTTGATTCATCCCCAAATGCCCCGTCTCTAATTTTACGAATTTATGAATTTTAAAAGGCATGATTTTACGAATGTGCCCTTAGAGGCAAGGGTTTTGATTTTCGTTGATCAACGTATAGTGAGGTGTATGAAATTTTGCTTTAGCATATCCCTGAAGTATTCGACAACGCGGGCTTGTAGGCGCAAGCAGAAGAGGATTTGAGGTTTTGGTTAAAGTTTTACGGAACTATAAACTCGAGAAGTATTTTGGTTTTAGTTAATATTTATACTTATATATATATATATATATATATATATATAAGTATTTTTAGTGTGGATAGAATAAGGAAAAGGAAAGAAGAGAGT